CCCACCCCTCGCTCCCCATCCAGTGTGTCGTCCCCACCAAGGAAGCAGAAGTGAACCTCAGAAGCTAACCGGGGTCATTGCCAAGAGCCTCAGCTGAAGTTATGCTGAAGTGAAACCAGCTGACACTGGACGCTTTCTCTTCAGCCAATGAGGAGCAGGTGTGGGCAGCGTCACTTGTCTCCGGAAGAACAGGATGCTGGAACTCACAGAAACAGGGCCACAGTACAGACAAAAGCAGCCATGCCACAGAGCCAGCTGACATATAGTAAACATACAACAAAACTTTCTAACATATTTAATGATACGTGGAAAGCTGGAGCACTGGCCCAGGGTCTGGATAGAAATTGGTGTCAGTCAAATAAGTGACATTCCCTAATTAACAGTGTAAATCTGAAAACCAACAGGAATAATAAACAGGACTCAAATTATGTAAAAAATAATTATATTAATCCCTACAGTCTGCAAGATGCTGGCACTGGCATCATTTATCACACCCTTAGCTTCAGAGCCAGGCACGGTAGCTCTAGGGATTTACAATTCCACATTTCAAGAGCTGAAGCAGGAGGATTTCACATTTGAGGCCAGCCTGGTCAGGTTGTTGCTTTTGTTTTGTTTTTGCTATTTCGTCAGACCCCTGATAAATCAAACATGGGATTCTTAACCCCCACCACTCAGCTGAAAGCCCTTACAGGTTTGGCCAGCTCCTTTTATGTAGCAAAACCTGATGAATGAACCTCACATGTCTCCAATATTCAGAGATCAAAGAAAAGCAAATGCAGGAAGAACTTTAATAGTTTTCTCATTGCACGCTTTGTAAACTAGACCTAGTTTTATGCAACTTCATGATATTTTTATTGTTTTGATAACATCTGTACAGGCCTTAGAAATGCTATTCAATAAGTTTTGATGAATAATTACACTCATAACAGACACCCTATCAAAATATGGTCTTCTAGATACATAGAAAATCGTGGGTGGGGGCATGCAGATAGAGGTGATACTGTCTAGGGGAATGTTTGGAAATAACAGAGGAGGAAAGTGGGGAGGGTGCGGAACATGGTCAAGGTACATGACAAACTTGTATTAAAGTGTATTTACAAATCCTAGTACTCTATACAAGGAATATGCTGCAATAACACTTTATTTAAAAGAGGATGAGGGGCTGGAGAGAGGGTTGAGGGGTTAAGAGCACTTAGGGTTCTCGCAGAGGACCTGGGTTCAGTTCCCGCACCCTCGTTGGTGCTGCTGCACCAATTGCCTGCAGCTCCAGGTCCAGGGGTCCAGGGTCTCTTCTGGACTTCATGGCATCCACATGTGCACACCCATGCACAAATACATATAATTAAAATAAAAACAATCTTGAAAGAACATGATTCATAAACTTCACAGAGTTCACTGTGGACTTGGCACATTTAACCACTATCTACTCTAAGATTTCTAATAAAATGAATCATATAACATATATTCTTTTTAAAGGATTTATGTATGGACTGGAGAGATGGCTCAGAGGTGAAGAGAACTGGCTGCTCTTCCAGAGGTCCTGAATTCAATTCTCAGCAATGACATGGTGACTCACAACCATCTAGAATGAGATGTGGTACTCAGTTCCGGTGTGCAGGCAATGCAGGCAGAACACTGTATACATAATAAATAAAACTTTAAAAAAAGATTCCTTTATTGTTTTTATTTATGTGTATTTGCATGTACCTTCATGAGTTTATGTGCACCCACACATAAAGGAGCTGGGGAGGGCCAGAGGATGCCCTGGAGCTGGAGTTCCAGGCAGTTGTGTCCCCATGTGGAGTCTTGGGAAGGCCCAGGTCCTCTGCAGCAGAAGTCAGTTCTTTAACCCCTGAATCATCTCTCTGGTCTCATAGCATGTCTTCCTGTGCTGGAAGTTTTGTTTCATATGTGTTTGGCTTTGCTTTTAGTTTTTTAATGTATTTTAAATTTATTTGTATGTATGTGTGTGCCTGCTTTTCTGCATAAGCACCATGTATATGTTGTGCCCTCAGGGTCAGAAGAACCCCTGCAGTCTAGAGACAATTCAGTGGCAAACAGCACTGGCTGCTTTTGCTGAGGATTAGAATTCAGATTCTAGCGGCCACATGTTAGCTCACAGCCACCTGGGGCTCCAGCTGCAGGGACCACAGCTTGCTTGTCCCTCCTTTTCTTCTTAGGGTGCTTTCCTATGGAGCTGACTGGAAGTTGTGCAGGGGACTTCATGAATGCAGTTTTCATGAGTCATTGCCCGTACAGTGTGTGTGTGTGTGTGTGTGTGTGTGTGTGTGTGTGTGTGTGTGTGTAGCTGCCTCTGAGTCACCATGTGCCTGTAGTAACTCCTCTCCCATGATCCTGTTAGTAATTCCAACAAACTCGCTGCTTCGCCAAGCTTGACTTGGTCTTCATTAGTGTGCCATCTGTGACTTGTTGGATGAACAGAAATTTTGTTCACATCTCTGCAGGAAGACATCCAACATCTAGTAAGGTCTGTTAATGCCTCTAGGCAAAAATCATCAGAGAAATAAAAGAGAAAGCTCACCAGGAGGAATTACAGGGCCTCTCTGGATATTGGCCTATTAGAACGAAGGAAGTAAGCCAGTGGGGATATACACTAGGAAATCTATAGCAAGCAATTTGCTTATGCAGATGTGGGGGTGAACTAGCATGTCCAAGGACCACTGATCAGATGATCTTCAGGAGGGCAGATGAAAACTTGATGAATGTAGGGGCTGAAATGCAGGCCAATATTCCACATTAGTCTGGTGGTCAGAGAATCTGAGCGACTCACAAGGCACAATTTGCACCTTGCACACAGGAGGGGATCGCCTGGCTCTTTTGAAGCAAAGCAAACATGGTGTCAGGATATGCTAAAGTCATTCTGCTCCTTCGATTGTAATTATGATGTCACCTGGGGAAGAGGTATTTTCAGTCTACCTGACAAAATAGACTTAGGCAAGACATGACTTAAGTCATCCCCCCACCCACTGCTGCCTAGGAAACAGAATACTAATGAAGTTTTTGTTAACTTCCCTCTCAGTTTACATTGATATAAAAGCTGTTTGAGAAATAAACATGGGAGCCAGGCAGTGGTGGTGGCACACCTTTAATCCCAGCACTCAGGAGGCAGAGGCAGGCGGATCTCTGGGAGTTCAAGGCCAGCCTAGTCTACAAGAGCTAGTTCCAGGACAGGTACCAAAGCTACAAAGAAACCCTGTCTCAAGAAAGAAAAGAAAGAAAGAAAGAAAGAAAGAAAATAAACATGGGTGGTTTCGGGATTTGAATGATCACTGAAACTCCCTCCGGATACTGTCCTGTGAACTGTGTCTTCATTATTCCCATGCCTCTATGCTGGTAAGAAATGTTTTATGTTGGGGCTGGCCCCTGACAAGTGAGATCAAAGTGATGTCTCCCATTCCTCAGACAAGCCTCAGCTTGCTGTTAAGCCTTCCCATCTGTGGCCAACTCAGCCCGATTGTCCAGGGTCACCTCTCTTACTTAATGACAACTGACTACAGAATTGATCACACACCTGGAATATCTTCACAACTACCTGGATGGGTATAAAGAATGGAACCCCTAATGGTTGCCATGACTTTAATCCTCAGCCCTCACATTTGTCTGAAATATTCACATCAAAGTGTTATGCCCAGACTCCTACAAAAATGAAAGCAAATTTGGAAAACCCAGTAGTTTGGAGACCAAAGATACTTTCTAAGTTACAAGACCGCCTTTCGACATTTGAGTGAACATTGTTACATTATAAAATATTTTAGGAGTAATTGTGCTAGACAGAATTGTGTATTCAGTGTCCCTAACTTCCTTTAGACATGGTCATCACATCAACACACAGAGCATGAAGATTATTCAAAAGATGGGGGAAATCTGGATAAACATGGTGCCTTCCCAATAGCAGCTGTGGGTCCAGAAGCCTCTGCGTTCAAACTGGAAACACCAGGGCTTCTGAGCAAAGAGCCTCCCCACCCGGGTTTATACAAGTAGAAAGAGCAACTGCATTGACTGGCCACCTCCTGTGGGGACCCCTTGGGTTGGTGTCAACTCGCAATTTGGAATGTTCTATACACACTATGAAAAGTGTAGGCCCATATTTCTATATGGTACAGCAGCCAGGCTATCAAGCCATATCAAGCCCCATCTGAGGTGGTCACATAACCTTCCAGACAGGCTGTAGCTAACCTAACAAAAAGTCAGGATGTGGTTTTGCTCCTTTCATTGTAATTTGGTGAATGCCTGATAAAGATGCTGATTCAAGCCTACCTAACAGCTAGCATACAGAGCAGACAGGTAGATGCAGACTAAAAGACAGTCACCTGGTTACCTAGGAAATGGAATGCTAATGTATTTCCCCCTAAGTTAAATTTTGGTATAAAGACTATTTGGAGAATAAAGAAGAGAGGAATTTTTCAGGATGCGAACTCCGGACTTCATGAGGGACCAATGAGAATCTACTTCCTGATAAAGCCATGTGAGTTGTGTCTATTTCCACACCTCTATGCTGGTCTAGAGAGAGTTTATGTTGGAGTCTGGTCCAGAGAAATAATTTATGGTCCGGCTAATTCATAAATGTGAGCCTGAGAGAGTGGCTAGGTATTGGGGTTGGGAAAGCCGTAGGAAAGAAAGAAATTCAGGGGAGACTTCCTGGACCATACAGTCCAGAAAATTCTGAATAACATCATTATTATGGAAGAGTTCATCTATCAGTGAGGTTTTTCAGAAATTCCCTCCTCTCTTGCCAGCCACACACTCATGCACAGGAGAAAGACTGGCATGGAGCCTCCCTCCTTCCCAGGGCATCCCTCAGGTCCACTCTGAGCAGAGGCTGCAGAAGTCCTGGAGTTCCCCTTCTCCTCCTCCAGGCCTCTCACTACAAACTCTGCACCTGGCAACTGTGACATCATCACGATGGAATTTTCTGATTGGGTTTGGCAGCGTTCCGTTTGCAGCCAGACCTTGGCTGGATCCTCACAATCTTTTGGGGACTCAGAACAGCAGCAGCTGAGACCACCCCGGGAAGAGGATGATGCCCAGCAGAGCTCTGGTTCTGGGAATCCTTGCCCTGACCACCATGCTCAGCCCCTGTGCTGGTGAAGATGACATTAAGGGTGAGTTGCACAGCTGAGGGACACCTGGAGCCGGGAAATGGGAAATCTAGAGAAGGAGAAACATATTGACTGAGATACAAATTCTCAGTATTAGGCAGTCTACCAACTGTGTGACCCCATTTGTCTTCAGGAGGCTCTGTTGCCTAGCTGTGCTCACCAAGCCATGATTCTAATGGTGGATCCAGTGAGGGAAGTGTGAAGGGTTCTGTGTTGGTAGGGTTGTCTCTAAACTTGGGGGTGTTTCCACGAATGGATGATTTTCGTTACTAAAATACATGAACTCTGAGAGTTTCTGGAGCCCTTTGTACCCGTGTCCTGGAGTGTATCCTAAGGAAAACTGTTCCGTGAATCATGTATACAGCTGTACAGAAAACACTTCCCTTGTGCTAGGGTCTATACTCTCCATGCTAGGAACTGGCCCTGGCGGGAGGTGAGAGAAGGGGCCGCCATTCTACTGGACAGTTCTCCTGAATCTTGGTTTCCTCATGTGTCACCTCACAAGTGAACAAGGCAAATAAGTATGTAGATGTGCTTTAAAAACAGTGAAAACCAGGCTGGGTCTGGGAGCGCTCGCTAGTAACTCAGTGCTTAGGTACTGAAGCAGGAGGATGGTGAGTTCAAGGACAACCTGGGCTACATAATGAGACCTTCACTATTAATTATTAGTAAATGCCTTTAAATGTCAACTTTCCCTGTTCCCATTCCTAGTATAGTTTCATATTTTTGTAACAAACTAAGGAATATAGGCCTGTGCTACTCCCCATCTAAAGAAGTTCTGTAACAGCAGCACAGGCAAGCACAGGATACAAAAGCCTGAGGCCCTATGGCCTGTGTGGCCCATCTCTCTCCACTCTCCCTGTGTGCATCCTTGCCCTCTGTCAGGACCCCTCCTTAACTCTGTGCTACTTTACATTAATAGTAGCTTTTTAAAATACAGTTGAAAAGTCAAATGTTTGAAACAGGAAGTGAAAGGGATCGAGCGACCTGTGAACCATGGCTGCTCTCATTCCGGTTTTGTTGGGAGGTAGAAGTCTCTCCTGGGAGACTTCTCCAGGGAACTTGTCTCCTTTCTCCCAGTTTCTTTTTTCAGTATCATACTAGAGTGCTCAAATCAGGTGTGAGCAGACACGGTGGGCACAGTTCTGAGGAACCTCACAACTGTAGGGCTGTGTGAAAATATTATCATTTCTTTTGAATTTAGAAGGAAAAAACGTAAAATTTCGAGGTCCAAAAAATGTTTTGATTTTTAACTCAGCTTATATTACATTTGTCTTATGTATAAAATAAGACTTTCAATATTTTCATCGAGCAAGAACGTCTCCAAAGCTAAATGAATGGGTGCACAGGTCCTAATTTAGCCCTGCTCATTGCTGACCCTGACCTGATTTCACATGGTTCTGTCATCTGTCAGTCATTCCCAGAGTAGCCATCAGCCTCAAATTAGCAATAATCATGCAATGGTCCCCTCTATAAAGCACTTTTGCAACTAAGATGTTAGTACTGAAATATAAAAAAACTGCTGCCTGCCCCTAGGAAGTGTCTGTCCCTAGGAAGTGTCTGTCCCTAGGAAGTGTGCAGACTAGCTGTGGACTCAAGCCAAGGTCAGGAAGCAGAAAGACCATTGCTGAGGACAGTGGACCCAGCTGAGGCCGAAACTGTAGCTGTAGGAGGCAGAGTGGTGTCCTCGGCAACACTTGTGGCTCAGGACAAGAACCTGATGAAGCGAATGCTGTGTACACCCACATTTGGGAAAGAAATCAAGAATTTATTGATAATGGATAAAGAAGCTTTGAGGGTGAGGTGTGGTATAGGGGAGGACTGATAAGACCAACCAGATGGCCATGGAAGGAAGGTAGGAGCCAGAGGAGCAGATGTGGATAGAGAGACAGAGGGGCTGGGGGTCATAGTGTGACTGAAAGTCTATTAAATAGAACTGAGGATAAACTGTGGCTGAGTCTTTCTCTGTCTCACCAGTCAGCTCCCAAATAATGACACAGAGACTTAGATTAATTATGAAAGCTCAGCCTTAGCTTGTACTTATTTATAGCTAGCTCTTTTAAAATTAATCTGTTTTTCTTTGTCTACATTTTGCCTCAGGGTTTTTACCTTTCTTTCCTTCTGTTTGTCCTAATTTCCTGCTTCCTCCACATCTGGCTGGCTGACTGGCCCCAGGCATCTCCCTCTCTCCTCTGTCTGTCCATCTTTGGAGCCTAGATTCCCCCTTCTCCTTACTCTCTCCTCAAAAGTCCCACCTATACCTCTGTGCCAATCAGGTGGCTTAGACAGGCGAGGTGAACAAATTCAACACATCTTAACCCAATATCCCTCAGCAATAAACCTTCAGAGGAGGTTTCAGCAAATTAAAAAAAAACAACAACTTTGATTTCAATGGGAAAAAGAGACCCCTATAAACAGCAAGACCATGAGAGGATGGTAGAGTTTTGCTTAGCAATTGCTTGTGCAGAACGCCAGATGGTAATTTGTCCACAGCCACTCACAGCACAGTACTTGTGCAGACGCCCGGCCTGCACGGCCAGTTGCTCCATAAACAGCTCTGAGCTAAATAAATGGAGAAGGGATAAAAGATAAGAAACTAAGACAGGTGATGGTGGCACACACTTTAAATCCCAGCACTCGGGAGGCAGAGGCAGGTGGATCTATGAGTGCAAGGTCAGCCTGGTCTACAGAGCGAGTTCCAGGACAGTCGGGCTACACAGCTACACAGAGAAACTCTGTCTCAAAAAAAAAAAATCCTGAATGCTAAAATCTACGCCTTGACAATAATGTGTATTTGGCATCCTCTGGGTGGCACCATCCGCACTGGCCGTCATTTGCTGTGGCCCCTCACACTTGCTCACTGTCAGGAAAAACCTTTAACTCACCATGAGTCTGCAAGTGAATGTCAGGGTTGATTTGGGGCAGAGGAGGTAGAGGTAGGGGTTGACAGAAGAGTAAAATCTAATAAGGTCTCTATTTCTTTATTCCAGAAGAAATCAGAAAACTGTCCTGTGATTCCCCACAGTTAACAATACAAGAACTTTAGATATAACAGTTTCTACACATTTTCTAGTGATATCATTGTGCTCTTCCTATAGGATTCTATATGCTTTTCCTTTTGTTAAAAAAATGAGAAAGGATACTTGTGTGGAAAATGTCCTTCTTTAGAAGGGAAATGAAATGTAACACATATGTTATTAGCTTATTAAAGCTTAATAAGATGTAAAACCTAAGAAGAGAAGTAGGCACGACTGAATCCTTGAAAAGAATACATTTCTCTTTCATTCAGTTGTGAGCTTCTTGGCATAGGCATATATATATATCTGGTGGAGGCAGTCAGGACAGCAAAAATCAAACACATGACATTCCACCATTGTGTAGCAAGACTGGACTGTAACTGAGGGGGTAGGGGAAGCGGGTGATGGAAATGTGCCAAAAATGAAGTTCATGGCATTTTCTCATTTTGCTTAATAACATCCTTTTTCCTTACTGTTTTCTGTTTTTTCCATTCTTCCTGCTATTCACCTGAATTCACCAGCCAACCATGTTGGCTCCTATGGTACATGTTTCTATCAGTCTGACAGACCCAACGGCCAGTACACATTTGAATTTGATGACGATGAGTTGTTATATGTGGACTTGGATAAGAAAGAGACTGTCTGGAGGATTCCTGAGTTTGGCCAACTGGCAAGCTTTGACCCACAAGGTGGACTGCAAAATATAGCTACAGAAAAACACAACTTGGATGTCCTGACTAAGAGGGCCAATTTTACCCCAGCTACCAACGGTACGTGCTCAGACCCTGCTCCTCCTCCCTTCCCTGGTGGGGAATAGGATCCACTGCTCTATTAAACCCCCTCCTTTCCAAGGAACACCCAGATCTCCTCACCCTCAGCCTCTCTCTTCTTTCAAATCACATATTCCATGTAATATAAAGTTCTTTGTTCCAACAATGCACTTCTTGAATACTTCCTAGAGGCCCCAACAGACAGCCTAACACCCGAGAGAGAAGGGCGTGTGGATAAAGTGGATGCAGCACATATTAGCTCCAAGTATAAGGGCAGCTCAGGCTCTTGGAACATCATGTATGTGAGCCTCAATGAGGGCTCCCTCACCAGACAGTGCAGAACATCGGGGAGAGAAACTCCCATCGCCCACTTATGTCCAGGCCATTTCCTTTCCAGAGGTTCCTGAGGTGACCGTGTTCCCCAAATTCCCTGTGCTGCTGGGTCAGCCCAACACCCTTGTCTGCTTTGTGGACAACATTTTCCCTCCTGTGATCAACATCACGTGGTTGAGAAACAGCAAGTCAGTCACAGAGACTGTTTATGAGACCAGCTTCCTCTCCAAGCGTGACCATTCCTTCCAAAAGGTGTCCTACCTCACCTTCATCCCTTCTGACGATGACGTCTATGACTGCAAGGTGGAGCACTGGGGCCTGGAGGAGCCGGCGCTGCAACACTGGGGTACGTGTGGGTTCTCCCTGCTTCTGTATTTTCTTGTTCATTATCAACTCTAGAACAGCCTGTCTTCTGCTCTGGTGACGAAACTCATTTTCCACCTTGACAGAGTTTCTATGGTAGACTTCATGTTCTCCCACAATCCCAGCCCCAAAGTCTGTGTGGATTGATTTCCATCCTCATATGGACCCTCTTACATACACATGTATGAACACATTCCCTCCTGACTCCAGAAACTTCACTTTCCCAGAACCTGAGGTTCCAGCCCCCATGTCAGAGCTGACGGAGACTGTGGTCTGTGCCCTGGGGTTGTCCGTGGGCATCGTGGGCATCGTGGTGGGCACCATCTTCATCATTCGAGGCCTGCGATCAGGTGGCACCTCCAGACACCCAGGGCCCTTATGAGCCCTTATGGAGAGGAAGGTGAGGGTTTGTGTTTGTGGGAGCTGAAGCATTCACACAGCAGGGAGCAAGGGAAGGAGACACTGATGATAACACGGTTGGAACATTGCTGGAGAATTGTGCAGTGGTGTGATCACAGCACAGGACCTCAGGAACGCATCCCTCTCTGTCCGTTTTGTTGCAGGTGTGTGGTCCTCTCCAGAGCAGAAGTGGTGTGCTGGATGGCCTGACACAGTATGTTTCCTGACCCAATTCATCATGCTCTTTGCCTTCCCCAAGTGTCCTCCATCTCACTTTTCTTTTGGTCCTGAGGCTGACTCCCTCACAGCTCACATGCCCTTGGAATTCTCCCCTGACCTGAGTTTTGTCTCTTGGTGTCCTTCACATAACATCTACTGTAGACACTCAGTGACCCTGACTCAGTAGCTCCACAAAACCAATAAATCACCTTTTGTAAGTCAGTTACTGTTTTTCTTGTTTTGTTTTGTTTGTGGGTTTTTTTTTCTGTCTTTCATTTTGGAGCTTATTGAAGCCAGAGTCATATAATCCCATGATGGTGACACAGAAACAACCAAATGCAGCCTTGGAATGCTCGGGAATCTCAGTCAAGGTTGAACTTTCTCTTCTTTTCATTCCCAGCCCTGACCACTGTCATCTGTCTCTGGGAAGACACCAGGTGGGCAGGATATGAAATTTGCCTCAGTGTACACTTACTTGCTGTAAGGAAATGCCAAGGCACAGGGCACATACCAGTAATCCCAGCACCCCAAAGACAGATCAGAAAAGTTCTCACAAGTCTAAGGCCAACCTTGTCTATACAAGGAAAGCCAGAGCTATATAGGAAGATCATGTAATACATACATGTATGAAAAAAGAAAGAATTATATTGATTTTATTTTATCTAAGGTTTAATGAAAAGAACTTTGAATCTCAAAGGTGATAAAAGTTTTTAAAAATGTTAGCAAAAGCTAAAGTTTTTCTTGAAATTTTTTGGAATCATCCAGGTGACATACCTCTTGGTGAGTCTGTGAGGGCATTTCCAGAAATATTTAGGTGAGGAGGCAAGAGCCATCCTGAATACAGGAAGCAGAGTGTTGTGTGCTGGGCCAAAGGAGTAAGTAATCCAACCTCAACTTCTCTCTGCATCCTAGTGTGCATGCAATGTGACCAACGACCTCCTGTTCCCCCTGCCTCACTGCTGTGATGAACTGTGTCCCCAAAACTGTGAGCCAAAGTAAACTCTCCCCTCCTCCCTCCTTCCTTCCCTGCCCTCCTCTCACCCTCCTCCTATATTTGTTTAAATCTGTAAAGCTGTGGTGGCAACCCACTGACTGGGAGAAGATCTTCACCAATCCTGCAACAAAGGTCTGATCTCCAAAATATATAAAGAACTCAAGAAACTAGACTTTAAAATGCTAATTAACCCAATTAAAAAATGGGGCACTGAACTGAACAGAGAATTCTCAACAGAAGAAATTCAAATGGCCAAAAGACAATTAAGGTCATGCTCAACCTCCTTAGCAATCAGGGAAATGCAAATTAAAACAACTTTGAGACACCATCTTACACCTGTCAGAATGGCTAAAATAAAAAACACCAATGATAGCCTTTGCTGGAGAGGTTGTGGAGTAAGGGGTACACTCATCCATTGCTGGTGGGAATGCAAACTTGTGCAACCACTTTGGAAATCAGTGTGGCGATTTCTCAGGAAATTCGGGATCAACCTACCCCAAGACCCAGCAATACCACTCTTGGGAATATACCCAAGAGATGCCCTATCATATGACAAAAGCATTTGTTCAACTATTTTCATAGCAGCATTATTTGTAATAGCCAGAACCTGAAAACAACCTAGATGCCCTTCAATGGAAGAATGGATGAAGAAAGTGTGGAATATATACATATTAGAGTACTACTCAGCGGTAAAAAACAATGACATCTTGAATTTTGCATGCAAATGGATGGAAATAGAAAACACTATCCTGAGTGAGGTAACCCAGACCCAAAAAGATGACCATGGGATGTACTCACTCATAATGGTTTCTAGCCATAAATAAAGGACATTGAGCCTATAATTTGTGATCCTAGATGTCAGGAGCCATTTCCCCCAAAAAATATTGCAGGGACCATTGTCCTGGGGAGGTTACAGAGAGCCCCACACCCCAACAGTATTTAGAACTGTTTTATTGGCAGAGCCTATCCCACACCCAACTATCTTGAGAGCTATCTGTTAGCGGAGCCCGCCCCACGAACCAGAACCATCGCTGCAAGATTCCTTCCTGCCCATGCCCCTGCCCCCCATCCCAACCCAAATTCCTCATTCAGGGGCTATATAAGCTGCAACCATGACGCTAATAAACGGAGGCTTTGACAAACCTTGCTTGGCCTTCTTCCACTCTCCTGCCCATGTCTTTTCAGATAGTGCCTCTCCGGGACCCTGGAACAACTGATCTGCCAGGCGGGTTACAACCCCTAGACTAACTGACGGGCCAAGGCGGTCTATACCTAGAGAAGCTAAATAAGAAGGTGAACCCAAAGAAAAGCATATAGTCATCCTCCTGGATATGGGAAGTAGACAAGATTGCTGGGCAAAAACTGGGAACTTGGGGGTGGGGTGGGATGGGGTAAATGGGGAGAGAAAAATGAGAAGGGGAGGTTATTTAATAAAGATGTGAATGGCCAAGAGCAAGGTAGGAGAAAGGATAGGCAGGGCTGGCAGGTAGAGAGAATAAGTAGAAGGAGAAATCTAGGTAAGAGGAAGACATCAAGGGCCAGTCGCCCAGCTACACATCAATCCATGGAGTCAAAGCAAGATTTACAGAAGTGAGAGAATGGAAAAAGTTCAGAGATAAAAAGTATATGGGATAACATAAGATAAGAAAAGTTGGCAAAAAAAAAAAGCCAAGTTATGACCAGACATTTATAACTAAGAATAAGCCTCTGTGTGATTCATTTTGTAGCTGGGTGGCATGTCCCCAAAAGAGCCTGTTTGGCTGGCGCATGTGAGCTGCACTGCCTGTGTCACTAGGAGAGCTGATGAATGATATCCTGCCCTACACCACTTATATGTGACTTGCCAGGGTAGTCTACACTCTCTGCCCAAAGTCTGGGGATTTTCCCCTAGGTGAAAGGATAAGGAACTTGTCCCTCATGTGTCTCAAAAAGTTACTTTGCCCAATAAACAGCATGAAGCACTTTGGAGAGTACTACGTCCATAATCCCAAATATTGTTTATAAATGTTTGTTTACATTTAAAGGGAATATTATATAGATACGAATAATTTGCATTGGTATGGATCTTGGTTTAAGGTCAATTTTGTTATATATATATATAATTTTGCTCTTCATTAAGGTATTATATTTGTACAGCTCATTTAAAATGTATAATTAAAAAATATAGCTTAATAGTCATCTATAATAGTCAACATTGTAATCATGTTAGTTACATTTTCTAGATGTAGAGAGATGTATTTCAGATGGATAGGTATTCTTCAAATCTTTCAGAGACCTTCAGAATATGGCATTTAAAATATTTTAAAACCTTAGGACTTTTCATAACAATGAGACACATCTGCTCCTGGCAGCACCAGCTACTTCAAGAGGAAGATGGACATGGAAGAGGCTCCTTATGGAGTTTGTTAGCCATTTGGGCAAGAAACTGCTCTTGCCTGGACTGCTAAACTTGACATGCAAGACACACAGAGAAATGACTACCAAAAGGTGAGACAATCCTTTGGGGTTCCTGCTTCATAAAAGTGTCTGCTAGACATTCTGCAGGACACAGAAGAAAGTGACTTGCAAACTGCCAATATAGGTGAAACCGTCTTTGAAATTTCCTGTTTCATGGAAAAGTCTGCTGGATACTATGGACCTGTAGGCTGAAGATGGATGCCCCAATGGTATGGAAAATCTTTGAGTGACTATCCAGGCAGTGAAATGTCTCTGTGAATTCTAGAGTTTTGAAAGTTGCTTACAATGTACTTCCTGTTTGCTTAGGTAATATTATATCCTTCTGGAGTCTTTGATGGAGTTGAAGAATAGATAGTTATAATTATAGTTTTCCTTAGTTATGATAAAAGATAAAGTAGATATAAATATTATAATTGTAATTCTTATTTGATACCTGTTTTATTATATGTAATTTTACTATGTTTTTTTTTTTTTGGTTTTTTTTTTTTTTTTTTTTTTGGTTTTTCAAGACAGGGTTTCTCTGTGGTTTTGGAGCCTGTCCTGGAACTAGCTCTTGTAGACCAGGCTGGTCTCGAACTCACAGAGATCCGCCTGCCTCTGCCTCCCGAGTGCTGGGATTAAAGGCGTGCGCCACCACCGCCCGGCTGTAATTTTACTATGTTAAAGCCTTCCTTTTTGTTTAAACAGAAAAGGGGAAATGGTGTGGGAGGTCCTTCTGTCTATGTGTTGACTTTATTGATTAATGAAAACTGGCTTGGCCTATAGCATGGGAGGAGGAAGGCGGACTTAGGAGAAATCATGGAATCATCGCTAGAGTCAGACATGCTGAAAATTTGCTGGTAAGCCACTGTCAAATGGCGATACACAGATTAATAGAAATGGGTTAAATTGATATGTAAGAAATTTGCCAATAAGAAGCTAGAGCTAATGGGCCAAGCAGCGATTTAATTAATACAGCATCTGTGTGATTATTTCAGGTCTAAGCTAGCCAGACTGCCGAGAACCAACAAGCACCCCTCCTCCAACAGACACTGAGGGTTGTTATAAAACCTAAGAACATTTCTGTCCATGCCAACTGCGTTGTTGAACTTAGAAAGCAATTGGGAAAACAGAACACTAGCACATTAGTGTGGGAACTGCAGCCCCGAGTTGATATCCCTGCCCCCCATTTGAGGTGCTAATCTGCAAGGAAAAAACAATAAATTCCCTTTGCTCCTGGAGCGGGGAAGGAAGGAATTTTCAGTGCATGATGACCGTTCCTTGATCCCTGCCAGGGTCAGGTTACAGTCCCTTCGCAGCCCCCTCCTCATTTGGTGCCATGGTATAAAAGCCAGCCTCAACTGGACAATAAAAAAAGCTGTTCCACCTCAAGCTCACGCTCTGTGTATTCGTTCAACCTGGACACCCTCCGCTGAGACTCTTGGTTCCAGCCCGCGCTGGTGCGGCACATTAGATACACAGCACAGTTCAAGGCAAAGAAATTTATACCCAAAGACAGGACTCAGCATATGGCAGGCAATACATCAAGCTTCACATAATTTGAGTAAAGTATCTAATATTTCTTAGTCATGTCCTTCTACAGTTTAGAAGTTATTATATTTTCATTGCAGTTATTGATATTCATATTTATATCCATTATTACATTGTCTAAAGGGATGAACTGTGCTATAAATGAAAGCAGAAGGCATATCTGGTGAGGAGTAAGGGAACAAGTTAGGGAGAGGGTGAGGAGGGTGGTGGAGGGAAGAAGCA